GTCAGACTCAGCTTTTGTGGCTCTTGCAGTCTCTGCAGTGTCAGCAGGAAGCATGAACCAAAGACTTCGAGCCTGGGCTTGAGAAATGTATATTTCTCTTAATGAAACCCAAAGCCAGGTGAAATTTTTGGGAGAGAGGAAACAGGATATGGAGCCCCTTTGGGGGCTGGGAGGTGTTCATAACACTCTGAAACTTGGCCCACATTTCTGATCTCCTCCCTTACTGCTACACAAAGGGTTTGTAGCTTTTTTAGACACACTTGGATCCATTGTATGTTGTGAGAGAACCGGCTGGGAAATTTGGTGATTCCTGCTCACCAGAGCAGAGGAAATGTGCGTTTCTGCTTTGTGTTTTTAGGAAAGTAGGAAGATGAAATTCAAAATGAAGCAGAGCAGATGGGAATCTTTCAGAGAATGACACTGGGAAACATTTAGACAAGCTTTGTCCCCAGTCCTTGAGCTCAGGATTTAGCAACTATACCATAGAGAGATTTAAGAAAGACAATGAAATGCATTTTGGCTTCAAATACAGTTCCTCCAGAATCCGATGAGAGTTGTGCACGTGAATCTGAAGCCAGAATATAGCCAGCAGTATGGGGAATAGATGTAATGTGAGAAACTCTCGTGCTATATTATTATAGTCTGAATTGTTTCCATCATTCTGGGTTAAGTAATTCCCCACTATCCATCTCTAAACTGTAAGCAGTAGAGCCTTGATGTGCCCCAGGGAGAGGAAGCAAACCAGTCTTTGAATCTTTACCCAACCTTACTGCTCATATTTTGCTTTCAGTGAATAACTGTTCAAATCCTTTAATATTTCATTCCCATAAAAATATATTTACCAGGGGTTTTTGTGGCAGCAGTAAGTCTGTGTTTATTATTTTAGGAACACCACATGACTGGCTTTAGAGAAAAGACGAGGTAGGAGCACAGAGTGCTGCAATCTATCAGGGAACAGCATGTTTTCCACCTGTTGAGGCAGCAACCACAATAACAGATGCACATCATAATTACCTGTACCTCAAAGGCAGCACCACGTCCTGCACCTTCTGCTCCCCACCTAGCAGACAGCTTGATAACAGAATTACAAAAGAGGAACAGCGAGAGAACGGAGTAGATAGCTCTTTGAGAAGAATGAAAGAGCAGTTCTTATTAAAGAGAAAACTGGAAGGTGGAAGATGAGAAGGAAAGATCTGAGAGACCATGATGCTAAAAAAGAGTGGAGCTGAAAAACTCCAGGAGCCTGCCTTATTTTTAGAGAGGTGGTCAGGTTTTTGCAAATGCCTTTTTCAAGGCTGCTTTCATTTGTGCTCCTATCATCAGGGATAATCTCTCCTGAGGGATAGGTGCCCCACACATCTAACGGAGCTCAATCCTTCCCAGGATGGGTGGCTCTGCAGTGGCAGGACAGGCTCATGCCTCCATGGGTAATGGTCTTGTCTCAGTGACAGGATTAGTGAGTGTGATGACCCTATGCCAAGGCCCTGTTCCTTTCCCCATCCCTGTCAGCAGGCACTGGGAGCACGTGGGAGCTCTGCTACTCCCGTTTGCCCCAGAGGGGCTGTGCAAAGAAAGGTCAAGGACAGAGTGGGGTGCAGGGCTGTGAAGCAGGTAAAATACCTTTGTTCCTCACTGCTAACCTGCTGTGGGGTCTTGTGACCTGCTCTGGCTACTGCAAAGGAGGAGGTAGCATTCAGCTGGGTGAGGGCTCCCTGAGCACATGAGCTTTGATGTGATTTGTACCACAGCAGTCCTTTGCAGGCAGAAAGGAAGAGATCCTTCCTTGCAGAGATTTGCAGAGGAAGAGAATGATCTCAGCCCCGATTTAATCTTGACAGAAGCAGATGATGAGAAGACTGTGTGCTGAGTTGGAGTCTTCCTTTGAATTCCTATGGTGTTGAAGGCAGAGTTATAAATAGACACAGTATCCTTTCTACCCTGGTACAATTCTGTCTGCAGCTCCCCATATAGACAGCAAGTCTGCTGGTAGGTATTTAGCAGGAATTAATTTAACCCAGTCTTCTCTTCTGTACTCTTTCACTCCAGGAATCCTGATGGCTGCCATAGCCATACAGACATATTTCCTCAATAAAAGTGTTCTGAGGAAGGCTGTTGATATTAAAAAAAAAAAACAAAACATTTCTGCCTGAAAATTCTATCCTAGTTATAAATAATTCAGAGAAGCCCCAAATGATAAAGAGTATATAAAAAATAATAAGAAAAAAGTCCCCTCTTCCCTCCCCTCCCAAAAAACTTATTAATCTTTCTTTTTTTTTTTCCCCTCATGTTTTGTTTCTGAATAGCACAGCACTTTCTTCATAGCCTGTTCCACATTTTCTCCAGGGCAGCCAGTTGGCCAGTTACCCCTTTCCCAAGGAAGACTCTTGTGGATATCAGCTGCACAGCAGTAGGAAATCCATCTACAGTGCTTCATGGCTATTAGATAGATCTTCAAGAAATTTAAATACAAGCCGGACTGGTGTTTAAAAAAAAAAAAAAGCCCTGCATTTAAGCATCTCACTCGGTGTTGGTTTCTCATGCTGGGCCTCCAGCAGGACAGCCTCCCAGCATGTCACAAACCCCAGGGTGTAAGGCCAGCAGCAGTGACCCTGTCTCACCCCACCCCTGTCCCTGCTCGCTGCTGGTGGGGCCGAGGCCCGAGGCGTGCTGCTGGGTGTGTGGCAGGCTGGCAAGCTGGCAAACAAGCTCAAGGTACTTGCCTGGTGGTCGAAGCTCCTGCGCGGCCGTGCCTCAGCTTACCTTTGTATGAGCAGTGCCCTTAGCTTTCCTCCTACCGTAACAGTCACAAGCAGCCTCTCTGCCTTTGGTTTATTCAAAGTCTATTTTTAATTGTGTTAATTATAAACCATCATCCCCCACCCTCTTTGGACCCACAGGCATCAGCCGGAGGGAGGCAATGAGCGGGCAGAGCTGAACGCTGCGTGTTGGCAGCGCAGGGCAGGCAGGGCAGCGCGACCGCGAGGCTTTCCTGCGCGTGGGTCGCGCCCGGGCCTCCCACGCAGGGCAGGACGTCTGCAGCACGGCCGCTACTTCGGCCCCGGGTTTTCACCCACCGGTGAAAACCACCCCCTCCGGAACAAAGCGGACGGGCAGGGCCAGGGGCCGGAGCTCGGTGCCCGCCTGCCTGCAGACGGGGGCGGCCGCGTACCGCCCGCTGGCGAGCCACGCTACGCCACGCCGAGGCCGCCACCTGGTGGCTGCGGAGGGCAGCGCGGGCACGGCCGTGATGTGCTGCGCCGCTGGGGTGTGCGTGCGGAGGGGAGCTGGACCGAGGAGGCTCTTGTTCCTGGGGCGTCCTGATCTGCTTCCATTTTTATGTTATTTTACTTTATTTCATTTTACTTTATTGTACTGCTCGTCCTGCAAATTGAAGCTTTTTATTCCTTTCTTTTTTTTTTTTTTTTCCATTCTAAGCTAATTGGTAATGAAGATGTGCATATTGCCTTTGATTTGGGTCTAAAACGGGCTTTTAAGACGACCACGTGCTGTGCTTGTGCTGCCTTGCAGAGCAGCCCTGCAGCCCATGGGCAGGTTTCTTTACGCAGGGAACTAAAGCCCCCTGTACTCACACTGTGAGACAAGGCCTCAGCACCAAGCTCCTTGCTGCAAGCTTTTGCTCCCAGTCTACATAGCAGATGTAGATATGGCCAAAGACAATTATAAAAGGTGCTGAGTAGCCCTTGCCCTTCATGAAGACAGGAATCTGCCTTACAAACAGCATTGGGAATGGCAAGGCGTGTTTTTCCTTGTTTCTTTGCTGCTTTTGAGCAGCTGGTTCGCCACAGTGGGCAGCATCCATGCCTCGGCATTCCAGAGTGTGGTAGCAGGAATGCAAACAGCTGCCATCCCCAAGCTGGCTTTGTGCTGCGAGTGTTTGTCCGCTGGGAGCCGAGATCCAGATGTGGCTCTCATAGTTTCCAGGCAGCACTGATCCATCAGATGACAGTAGCTATTGAGTGCTGCTCTGGTGGCCCAGAGACACAGAGATGAAAGTCTGATGTCTGTCAGCACTTCCCTTGCCATTCCTGTCTCCCTTCAGTTTTCACTTGAGTCTTCTCATAAAAGCAAATGCCCCAGAACATGATGTTGCAATGCTAATGGCCTTATTTTTGAGAAAGAAAATCATGAGTTTTGTAATGTTGAACTGCCAGAGAGACTTGGGATCCATTGAGCTTTGTTGTCAAATGCCTTCGTGCTCCCACTCCCACTGCCCATGTAGCTATTGGGAGCCTCAGCTGGGAACCCACCTTCCTTTTCAAAAGCATGTCACACAGCATGTCCTGGATGAATTTTCTTAAAGAAGGGGAACAATATTTAAGTGCCCTCTTGAAGAAAGATATTTTTGTCAGGAAAAAAAATCAAACCAATCTGATGAACAAGCAACAGGAAATCGATGTAGACTTGGAGCTGTTTCTGTGAGTGGCTTGTGCTGTATCCCAGCTGCTCTGCCTCTAAGCAGCCCCTTTACCCCCCAGCTCACAGGCTCCACCAATTGTAAAAGCAAGAACTAACCAGAGTCAGATTCGGGTTTCAAAATACAAACCATTTTGGATACAGAGAGCTAAGGGGAAGGGGGGCAGCTGATTCGTAAGAAAACTTCTAAGCATTATTGTAGCATAAATAATACAGCATCTTTCACCTCAAATGGCCTAACACTTCATAAAGTGATATGAGCTTCACTCGTTGCTGAAATGCAGCTATTTCTGAAGTGGAATCTGATATCCTTTTTTTTTTTTTTTTTTAACCAACAGAGAGCAATGTTTTAAGGTGGAGAAGGAAGGATATAATATACAGCCAACAGTAAGTGTAAGCTAAGGTGGCTTTGCAAAACGGGAAGGTCAGGTAAAATGTGTTTTTAGTAACAACAGACAATCTAGAGCATCTTAAACTTATATCCTTAGTTTGCAAATGCAATTCATTTCAAAGAGATCCAGGAAATTCAAGTCATGTTTTGTCCTCTCTCTTTTAGTGATACTGTTTTACAATGCTTTGCTAGCAGATTCTCTGGTTCTTTTCCTCTCTTCGCTTAATTTAATGTCCAGTTCTCGCAGCTGGCTGAGAAACCCTGTGTTTGGGCAGATGTCTCTGTGAGAACCCACTGTTTTCAGAGCGTCCACGAGCGTCATGTTTTCATGGATCATCAAAAAGGCAAGCACTAATGTTGCAGAGCGGCTCACCCCCATGGCACAGTGAACAAAAACTTTACCTGCAAAAGGAAGAGATGCAGCAAGGTGAGCAGGCTAAGGCATTTCTGAAGTGAAAGGAATGCAGGGAGGACAAATACTAACAAGCTGGCAGAACAGCCAGGATGATTGGCGCATACTCATTTATTCTTGAACAGCCTGAGATTGTGCTGTAGATCTCAGGCAAGGTGGTGCTTCATACTGAGCACACGCATCTAGCTTGGGCCTCTCAATAGTTATCAAAGAAAGTGCAGTTAACATAGCTTATCTGAAAATGCAGTTAACATAACTTATCTTGAAGCCCTATTAGCTCTAGAGAGAAGGAACCTAAGCACTGAATTTTGTAAATTGAACATTATGAATGCCCTTCCCTGACAGAAGCTATTGCATGGTGGAGTTTTTTTTTTTCATGTAACGTGGAAAGAGTGCTGTGGAAATTGGGTTGGTTGGTTTGAGGTAGGAGACTAAATTTCAAAAACTAGAATATTTTTCAAAAAATTGTTTCCAACTTAAATGAAGACTGCTGTGTAGCTCCAGGATGCTTTTGCAGCTGTTGAAGCCCAGATCTCTGGGGATCTGCTGGCCATTATGCTATAGGAAAACTCTCACCATGCAGGACAGTGGGGCAGAAAAACCTAGGCGGGATTCTCTGTTCTGACCCAAGCCTTGTCAGTTCTCAGGTATTTGTTTCCAGATTAAAATAGCTGAAATGTTCTGTTGAAGGAGAAGCTTTCTGTGACAAAACTCATTAGTGTAATTTTCTGTGGAAAAAAGAAACGGTTTTGGCAGAAAACTTTGGCCCAGCCCTGACTGTGATCATTGACAAGTTCCATAAACTCTGTAGGACAGTCTGACTGTAAAAACGGTCTCATAATTTACTGTGTCTCAGCAGCCCAGTGTGAGCTATAACTAGGGATTTAATAAAGCACTTCGAGTCAAAGCAGTAAGATCTCGCAGCCAGTCGGAGTCAGAGCAAACTCTGGAACAAATGGAAATTATGATAACTAGGCCATAATCCAAACTCTGCTGACAAAAATTCAGCAGGCTGCGGGTCAGACTCATAGCTTTTGACTTAGTTCATTAACTTGTGCTGCTTCTCTAGCTTTAATGGACACCCGGCCCAGGTTCCAGTTGTGAAGCATTTAGGCACATGAAGCGTTTCAGCCAGCACTTGCAAGTGCCAGCAGGGAGTGGGAGAGCAGAGCTGTCATGCCACTCAGACCATGCATTCCCAGGCTGGAGCCTGTCTGAGATGCAAGGGCAGGCCCTCAGACTGTGCCAGGAGGCAATTCCTGCAGGGTAAAAGCCCTGCAGTGCTATAGTCTTGCCCTCATGCTCCACTCCTGGTGTTGCCCCCTGCACTAAGGCCCGGTCACAGCCTGGTCCCTGCCATGCCTGGAGCAGCCTCCCAGCCTCTCTGCCCTCCTCCATGCCCATGTCCTCAAATGCTATGCTCAGCCCGAGCTTTGCTGCTAGTGCATTGAGAAGCCATTTGGCTCATGTTGAAACTTCTTCCCAGAGCTTCTCGGTGCCTCCCTCTTACCTCCTGAAGTGTTTAAGGCTTTGCCTATGAAATTGGCAGCATCGTAGAAGAAGATACTTAAATCAAAGGAAGGATCATCAAATGCTTCTATTCCGAAGTACTCTATTTGCAGATCTTTGTAATATTTGGCTCCTGTGTTGATGCTATATGGCCCATCCGCTGCATTAAGGATATGAGTTATGTTGAGGCTTTGAATAGTAGTTATACTCCTAGCAGCCCACCTGTTGGAAGACACGAAGGTACACTGGCATCATGCCTAACGTTCTGCTAAAACATCACCATTTAACGTTAGAGCCTGCTCCCTCTAGAGAAGGATGCAGGGATTGCAGCTTGCTTACAGTGTGGCACATTGTCCTCCGACCTACGCAACCGAAAAATGCAACGTGGTGGTATGGGAAGCAACCTGAGCACAAGCTTGCCTGTGAAATGCTGTTAGGTGAACGCGTCTCCCAGCAGTTTACCCCTGGGAACGTAGCTTGCTGCACAGACTGGTCAAGATCTTCCTTCAAATACTTGTGTAACAAGTTCTGCAGCTAACCTCTCACTCATAGTGTACATGAGTGGCAAGGGCAAGAATGCATCCAGATGCAGCACCTCATTCCTGGTCAATCATGCTTAGCAGCTGAGTTCTCCTCCTAGCCATAAACTACGACACAAGCTATTCCATAAAACAATGATCTTTTACAGATGAATTCATAAGGAGGAGGAGGAAGAGTTGGAAGAAAATTGTAGAATCATAGTAATGAAGTATTGCTCTGCCAGCCTCATCTGCATAACCTGCAGTAATCCAAAGAGAAGGAAACAACACCAAATAAAAGCAGTCAAAATTATGAAGCACCTGCATGAAAATTGTTATTCTATATTTTCAATCTTACTATCTTTGAAAGCAAGTTTGGATTTGGAATGCCAAAACCTGTGCTGCATAACTCGTTTGGGTCCCCCTCCACCAGGCTCCTGACCCTGCCAGCTCTATGTTTGACTCTGAGGGCTACTGTGCTACTGTGATCTCGTCTGCTGCCTGTCAGCAGTTTCCAGGGCAGATAGCGCTTCTCACAGTTGACACTAGTTTAGGATGAGTTCTTTAAAGACTTTTGGCAAGAATACAGATAATTCTTGCTTCGCCAAAATCCACTGTGGCTTGTGGAATATGGAAAAAAAACCTCAAGCAGACTATAAATTACCCTTTTGTCCATCATACTTTCCATGACATTTAAACACCTCGTGTTATCAGTTTTGGAAGCTTGTGTTGTAAAAACATTCCTGCACACCCAATAACTGGTCCCCAGTGGACCAATTCCCTTCCTCCTCCTCCCAGATTCCAATATAATCTTAATAATAGGACCATATGTTCTTACGCATCTCCCAGGTAAATATTTGGCCAGACTTGGTCCACATGGTTATCAGACCCTCCTCTGAACCAAATCAGTCTCTGGAGGTCTGCTAGTGCTGGTGTTTCGTAGGATGCTGGGACGCCTGCGCTGCTGCTTGGAAAGGAGTTGTCTCTGGTGTGAAGCATCTTGCTCTTCTCTTGCACACACTCAGGTTGTATCAGAGACAGCTTTTCTGAAATGAATTAAGAGGAATTATTTCATGCAGAAATAATATTCCCCACAAAGCATTCCTTCTCATTACCCTCCAAGCAGCATTACATTATTATAACTGGTGTGTGAAGTAGGGCCTGCAGGTGTTGCTGAAGGCATCCAGAGAGCAGGACTGACCCTGTGGTACAACTCTACAGGCATGTAATTCATCCCCTGAGAAAGCAGCAGCATAAGACGATATGATTTAATTTCTTTTCAAGTAAGGCTGTTGAAAAAAAAATGTCCTGTGCCACTCCAGCACAGTGCTGACTGACCCTCATAGGTGCAGGTATTGTTGCTGTTACTGCAGTGCTGATGAGTGTAAAATGGGAGAGCTCCAGTATTTTATGCTGGAGAAGTACAGAAGTGTTTGCGCACACTCCTTGTTAGCTGGAACTGCAAGTTTTTGGAAGAACGAGCCATTGGACTGGCTCACAACGCTTCTAGGGCCAAGGTGGGAATCTTAGGATGTCTATAGGACATATATTCTCACAGTGTATGTGCATACATAAACAAAGTGCATGTATATGTAATTGTTCTTTCATTTATAAGGATGCATTTGCACAGACGTGCACAAGTGTACAAGCATATATGCATATAAATAGAAACAGCAAATTTGAACCATTTTTTCCTATATCTCAGGTGAATATTCGTCATCTATACTGGTATGCTTGTGTCTTGTGTGCCTCAGCCTCTCTTCTGGGAGCTGTTCCACTTTGTATAAATAATATGATAACTATTTTGCCTCCAGAGTGAAGCCATTTCTCTCATCTGAAGGAGAGGGCACTTACCTGCAATGTAAAAAAAAAGGAGCATCTGAATTTAGGAAAATTATAAAGCTGAAAGTCCTGGTTTTGTAGCCATGTTAAAAATCCCATCTAGGACTGCTTTGCTCCCTTACAGATCCTGCAGTTGAATACATGGGCCATTTTTGCAACACTGCTCCTTTGTTGATGTTAAAGCCATAGCGTGGGAGCCACCTGAGAACTTGTTCAAACTGTGAGATAGGTGTCCTGTGCTTGTTCTGCAAAAGCTTATGTGATGTCAGCTTGCACTGTAATACCTGAATACCTCAGTCTAGAGTTTTGGTTTATTTTCTCAGCAATTCTAGGAAGCCCCTGGTAGACCTTTAGAATTCATCTGGTCTGTCCCTTGCCCCACCAAAGCATCAGCCAGATGGATGTTGCTCCTAGAGCGCTACCAACAACTTTGTCCTAAGCTGGGTGCCTTATTTTAAACAGTGTAGGCTGATGTGGGACACAAGCAAGCATGCTTATAGGAAGATTAGTACAGTGATCCAAGGCATAGTATTGATCACACCACATATATTCCTGTGAATTGCTTCCGCTGCTCCCCTCTTTCTCCTCCTCCCCACTAAGAGAAAGATAACAGAGGTTCTACATCAGGGGACTCAGAATGCCATGGATTAATTTTCAAGGAGGGTGGATGAGCCTCAGTTACTGCAGGTGTTAAAAAGCTGAAGCTGTGCAGGTAAGCAGATGGTTCCTACGTTTTCAGTTGTAGCCCTCATTGCTTTTAACTTCTGTTGTAGTACGTCAGCTTGTTAAGGTAATGGAGAGAGAAAAAGAGATGACATTGCCAAGCTTCTTGTTTTGGGCCTGATTTTGCAGTAGTTCTCTTGGCCTGCTAGAGCTGAGACCTTTTGGTAATGGTGGGACTCAGCAAGGGACTCCAGCCACTGCAGCCAGCAAGGTGCTTTGCAACAGAGCTCCCTTTCATACAGCAAACCTCTTCCCCTGTAACACATTAGCAAGATTCGCTTCCCATGACTAATTCCAGAGAAGCAAGCTCCTCATGTCAGCGCGCAGCATGGCTCCTCCCAGCCACGCCACTCTCTCCCTGCTGTGCTGGCCTTGAAACTGAATTACTCCATGGGCCCTTCAGGAGAAACTTGGAAATAACTATACCAGATGATTGGACTAATGAGAAAAGTAGTATGAATTTTTTAATTGAGGACCAGGGACTTAGCTCAGGGTTTCCTCCCTGCCCCCTTCTACTTTCAGATACTGCAAAGTTAGCAAAAGTGCTGCCACAAATCACATTTCTCTGTTTCCCCCTCCGTGTGGCTCAGAGAAGCTCCTCTAGGTGGAAACAGATAGCAGGAAGGCAGGATCCTTCGTGAAAAATCTCTTACAAGGTCACTAACACCTTCTGCAGAGGTCTCTTTTGGAGCTGCAGCCTGGAAGTACCTAAGGCCATCTCATTATATTCTTTGTTTCTATATTTCTGGGTTTTGTGTTTTTTTCCCCTATATACTAGAGACACTTGAGACTGGATAAAGCTTCTGGAGGCAATCCAGGCGGATTAACCTTCTTGCTTCATGGGGAGAAGGCAAGGAGGCAAACACTTTGAAACCCTTCTGAAGTTAACCATCAGTCACCAAGCGTCCAGAGCACCGGGGTGCATCCTGACAGGTCTTGCTGGGCTCTCTACACCTCAGCTGTGCTTCTTGCAGAGGTTTGTATCTCAGTTAATGTTATCCTGATCTTGAGTACTTTAGTCAGCAAGGGATTTTTCTGTTGTTCGTTTTTTCTTCAGACGCTAGGGAAAAAATTGCCATTTTCTAATGCAGATTTTTTTTCTGGCAAAGGAAAAAATATGCACAGCTTCAAAGTCAAGCTTGACTTGAACTGTCCAAAGCATTTAATAGATTTGTGTTGGACTTGCAGATTTCAGCCTAAGAAAACAAACTTCTGAGGAAAAAAGAAAAAAAAAAGAAAAAAGAAATCCTCTGATGTTGAGGATTTGATATAGTTCATTTTAGTATCTCAAAAGGAAGAAAAAGGCCATTTCCTTTTTTTCCATTAAAAAAATACTTCTGTTTTGGAATTTGAGTTTATCATTGCATAAAATCCTTCAAAATATAAAAACAAGATGAAGTGGTATGTTTCTGGTTGAGGAAAACACGTTTTGTATAATTAAACACACGCACTAACTAACCAAGCATCTTTCATTTTCACTCCTGCAGCACAGGGAAGGCCTGCTGCCATTTTGCTGTAGTATTATCATGCCTCCTAAGGCCAGAACCGAGCTACAGAAGCTGAACTATCCTGATTCCCAAGAGGAGCCCATCACAGGGCAGCAGCTGGGCCCCAGGTCCTGTCCTACCACCACAATATCTCCTGCATGTTTCCAGTTGGCAAGGCTCTGCTGGTGGCTCTGGTGACAGCCTGGGGAGTGGCAGGTGTCTTTCGGTGATAGGAGGTGATTGTGGCCTCAGGAACAGCAGGACTGCTGTTTTGGGGTGGACCTATGGTTGCCATGATAAGGCAAACACTGGGTAACAGTAACATGACTCTGAAAACTCCTGCAGCCAAATGTCCTGAACTCACTGAAACAAAACCCAGCAAATTAGGTGGTTCGCAATACCAAAGCATGACATCAGAATATAATTCACATGAAAAACAAACAAAAATAGGCCTGCTGAAGCATTTTAAACTGCTGTCTATCCTGTTTTTCCATCTCTTTTTTCTGATTGAGCTACTCTGCAGTCATCTTTTCCCCTCCTTGCTCTTTTCTCACAGGTAGTGCTTCACACTATGGCTCTTTGTCCCCCTGATGGAAAAATCCAGATGGAAAGAAGTGTAGTTCACAGGAAAATGATCGTGTAAGTGAAATTAATCTTTCAGATACTGTAATGTGAAACCCGATCTTCCTTTCTGTTAAGAAGACCCAATCTGTGTCTCTACATTTTGGCCAAAATCTGATGCTAAGAGAACCCTGGAGTCTCTTGAGGTAGAATTGAAAGCCTCGTGTGCAGAAACAGACACATTTAAAAGCAATAGTGGAGTTAAAACAGCCAGATGGGAACCTAGCAGGCAACTGAGAGGGGAACTCTCTGTTTTCCTTGCAAGCCTACAGGGGCTTGTTTGCAGGAATTAGAATCTCTCACCAGCAGTTCACTGCAGCTCTAATACCAAGTGGTATTGAAAATGAGAAGCAGGTTATGGCTGATGGTTTAAATGAGGCACCTATGGGAATTTTGAAATGAGATCCTGGATGTGTCTCGGTATAGAGCGTGCACATGGCAGAGCAATATTGCTTTCTTGGCTGACTGCATCATATATTATGGTCTTTTATTTTGCCCACGCTCAAGCAGCAGGGAACAGCAGAAGTTCATTGCTTCTGCACACTGCTTAAACCCTGCTCTGCCTTGCCGGAGGCTGTGCCCCTGCCTCACAAAAAGCATAGGCAGTCCCTTGGCCCCTGCACTGGTATGTGCTCAGTGCAGCACTGTATTTATGCCATTTCCATTATTTTGGAGCGAAGAGAAAAGCAGAATGTACAATTAAGATTATGCTGCCTGATATTTTTTGTCTTATTTTACGGGAGTCTTTTTTTTTTTTTTTTTTTAAAAAAAAGAGAATTTATGATATGGGAGGGCTCTGGCGTGTGCAGCCCTCAGTGTAGCCATGGCTCTGCCAGCTGCAGGACCCCTTGCCCCACACTGCAATGCTGCTTGGCTGGCTAGGGAAAGCCCAAGCCTTGGCACTCCTCCACTGCTCTGCCTTGCCCAATACCTCTGTTCATGGCCAACCTTTCTAGTGGAGCACAGCAGCTTCTCTGTAGTGGGCTGCAGGGGATCAGTTTCTGCTTGTGAGGTGCTGGAGGTGGGCAGAGGAACACCCAATCCACATGTGTTTCCAAGGCCATATCATTCCATGGGGGAGAAGCTCGGTGCTGACCTCAGCTCTATTCTGCCTTCCCCAACCTCCCTTGTGAGAGCTGCATGGCCTAGGCAACGGCACCTGCCCATATCCTAAGGGTATGCAAATGGGTCTGACAGGTGCAGAAATGGGGCATCCTCCCTGCTTGCCGGATGGCAGCTCTGGCATCTGCAGATTCCAGATTCAAAGGAGAAAAAAAGTAATAAATAAAATATTACCTTAGCAGCTGGCATCTTTGAGCTATTCTGTGCACTATACCCAGCAAGACAGCGCTGCCCTCCACAGGCTCCTACCGAAATTTCCAACTTGGCTGTGGATGTCTGTCAAGCCAGGGATGATGCTCTCCCCCCTGGCTCTCTTCTGGAACACTGCTGTCCAGGGCACCACTGATAAGGATTAAAAACAAAAAACAGAAACGACCTCCAAACTACTGTTTCTTTCGGCACATCTCGACCTGCCTGATGCTGCTACCAGAATTAAAATAGCTGTAGTTGTAATCCCATTGCTAGCAGCCATTCCTGTGCTGCGTGCTGTGATCAGCAGCATCCCAGCTTGCCATGCCACTGTTTCTAATAGTAGAAACTTCACTCCCATCTTATGTAAGGAGCGGGGCAGAGCAGCTGCGGCTTGTGACGTGCTCAGGCAGAAGCTTCCTGGGGCAGCATGTGCCCGAGGGCAGAGCTCCAGCCAGAGCAGAAGCAGTGACCTTGACATGGGTAAGGGCTCAGTGGCACTGCCAACTCCACACCGAGATGCTGTCGGTATTGTGGGCTGTCGATAGGTGTCAGTTATGGGCTTGATATGTGACCATGTGACACATGTGTTGTCAAACAGGCCGGATTCTGAGAGGAGGAGAAAAAAGCTTTGCAAGCTTTGGGAAAGACAAACAAAGATGTTAATGTACTGCTATTAAAACAGGCTCCTAAGCACCAGCTCCTCTGCAGGCATATGGATTTGTATAACAGTAGATTAAGGATTGTTTTTTTTCTCCTCAATTTACTTCTCAAATGACTTTTGTTTGACTGCTGCTGTCAATACAAAATTGATGGTGCTGTCAAGCTCTCAAGATTTCAGAATATCTGAAGGCACGTGTCAATGATTTTTCATATTTCTCGGTCGTTTGGCAGAGGTGTCTGCAGCTGCCTGTCTCTCCTTGCACAGTTCCTGTAAGCAGTGAAGTGCTCTCCCTTGCTTGAAAGGATACATATGAGAAAGACACCATTTGATAAAGTTGACAAAGCTGTACAAAATCTGTGCAGCTTCTTTGCAGTAGAATCAAGAGCAGAAAGAATTCATACTCCACAGTGGAAGATCTATTTTGGCACTTAATTTTTTTTTCAGGGAAATCATAGAGCTCTCAAAGGATGCTCTCAGCTTTGTTGGTATGAAGTAGAGCAATTTTTCTTCAGGTTTTAAATGGCTGGTTTTTGATCAGTTGATGCACCACAGGCCTGCCCCATGCCCAAGGCACAGTGTTGATACCCCAGAGCCTCACAGCATCGGGCAGGACATGAACAAGGGCAATTGTGCACTAGAACTTCTGAGGAGAGCTTTTTCCACCTCTCACTCATCAGGCTTTATACCGTTGTTTTTGTGAAGCTTGCTGAGGTTTTACATGGGCTGCAGGCTGATGCCTGAGCTGGTAGGGTGGGAGGGAGGCTGAGCTGCCAGCAAAGCACAGCCCGATGGATGCCCAGGGCTGAGCTAAGAGCCTTTGCTGGGGGCTGTGCCTGCTAGAGGCTGTTTGGAACAGATACATGGGAGATAGGCTGCACATTTCAGTCCATTTTCCCAAAGGAAGCCTCCTGCTAACTGTGCCTCCAGCACAACCCTGGGAAGGCTCTCCTCTGCCTGAGAAACTCTCAATGAGCAGGAATATATTAAGGATTGTGAGATTCTCAGGCACTGGGAGCCATTCATGCACCATAAATAGCATTACCATTCTTTCTTTGCTGTGCCTGGCATCCCAAGCAGTCATTTTTGCAGGTGCCTTTAGCAGCTTTTCTTATGGTCTCTTGGCAGGCTGGAATTTTGTGTATAGTTTTTCTTACTATCTCTAAATCATTTATTTCAAGGTAAAATACTGTTGTTTTTGTTGTTGTTGTTGTTGTTGTTGTTTTGGACTTCTTTTTCTTCCTTTTTTATATATCGTACATTACTGCCATATTTTTAGTAAAACTATGTGGGAAGAGCTCTTGCAGAAGAGTGAGGATCGAGAGTAAGCCATTCATAAAGAATCTCTGTGATTGCAGGAAAAGAAAAAAAAAAAAAAGAAAACAACCCAACAAAAACCTCCAAAACCTCAAAAAGAACAAGAAAATTAATTTAAGCTCATACCCATTTTTAGCAAGAACTTCAAAGTGATTGGTTTTAAAATTAAAAAAAAATCGTGTAACATGTTTTGACATGATATGTGATGTTTCCACTGGGAGACTAGAAATACGTAATTGTAGAAGGAAAATCTTTACATGCCTATCAGAAAAGGAAATAAGGATATCTTGTGTCATGGAACTACAAAGCAGACATTTTGTTCTGGGATAACCAGCGGAGCACTGCTATTCCATCAGCTGGTAGAGCTGGAAGAGTTGGGCAGGCTTTCAGTACACAAGACTGCTCTGATTTGCGTGCTACCTTTACTGACAGCCCTTGCCTCAGAGCAACTCAGCAGTAGGGCCAGCAATGAAACACCGTAGTTTTTCCATTTTGCCAGAAGATGGCAGAAGAAAGCAACCTTGCGTGTTTTAAAAATAGTGCACTTATGGCTGGCTGTTAGAGAGAACTGATAGTGACGGAGAAGAAATTGCTGTGGCTGGATGGGAGAAAAATGTGAAGGATACTCGATGAATTAAATTGCTATTGAGCAGGGCAGATTCATCAACTAATCTACACTGTATCCTTTCCTATGCAGATTTTCTGTGTAGGAAAAGCTTGTAACTGTGCTTATTCTTCCTATGCACAATGCAGTTCGGCCTGGGTTTGCTCCAGTGCCAAAATTTTTTGTAGCAAACCAGGCTCCATTGGTGTCCAGCACATAATGCTATCAGCCCGAGTGAAAATCAGGCTGATTTGTTCTGTCTTTTATTTTCTCTTCCCAGACTAATTTATCTTTCCTTTCCCAGTTTCTCCACTCGTGCTAGTAGAAGAATCCAAGCAGTGCAAGCAACCTCACCTTGCTGCTGGAAGAGGGGCAGTCACTGGATGCCTGTGCATCCTGGCTGCAACATGGGCTGCTGGGCATCACAGTGGACTAGCAACAGCGGCCAGCTCAGACACCTCTCTCTTCTCCAGGAGAAACCGACCCATCAGCCACATGGTTGACACAGAACTTTCAACTGATGTGATGATGAGGAAAAACAACTGATGATGCAGATGCCTATTAGCTGGACAGCAACACCACTTTCTCACGAGATGATGCTCAGACAGACCCCAGTGCATTCTACTCTTGGGATTCTGGTCCTGCTTGGCTTTTTAAGGTAGTGTTCTTCATATTATTCTATTAGTCAAAAAGACTTTGGTCTCAGGTTGGTTCTGTGGTTAGCAGCAGAATAACCTTCATCTTGTGAGAAAAACAAGTGATGGCAACTGGCACTGCTGGTGACACCATAAGCACACTGTCAGCTTACAAGGATTTCTATTGCCTTTCAGCTGCCCACCCAGGGGTACTGGGTACCCCCTGCTATTTGGAAGTGGATTAAGCCTTCCTGAAAGTGAGTAAGTTTAATAGATTGTGGGATGCCTTTGAAGCTGCCTCATCCAGAACACCCTGCATCCCAGGTCCTTTTGCTGTACTTTCACCAACTGATCATTTTTGCCAAAGCATCTCAAGGATATGCTAAATCCTGTTCTGGAATTGAGGTGAGCAAGCACAAACCCTTTACATGTTGAAGTTTTAGTAGGCAAGTACGTATTTGGGGAAACAACATTCTATGGGTATCTCTGTGCTTGAAAAGAAAACCCTCTCTGACCTTTTAGGATTGAAGACTTTATATTAAATGCTAATTCGCATTTTTGTTTTTTTTTTTTGGCTTTTTTTTTTTTTTTGTCTTTTCCTTCCTTCCTTCCTTCCTTCCTTCCTTCCTTCCTTCTTTCCTGCCTTCCTGCCTTCCTCCCTTCCTCCCTTCCTCCCTTCCTTCCTCTTTCTCTCTCTCTTTTTCTCTTTCTCTCTTTCTCTTTTTTTGAGTGAAGATAACATTGAGAAACAGTTCAGTACAGGTAGTTCATCCCTAAAACAAAGGCAAATTCAGGGCTGTCAAGGAATTTGAAAGCCCTGGGTTAAAGGATTTTGCAAAGATTTCTGCTGAGTAAGGGCTATACACCTGAGAGGGAAAAAGCACTCACACAAATGAGCTCAGAAGGTCAGAAGCTCTTGCAGAACCAAGACAGACATGATTGTGGTGCTGGATTGCTGCTCCTCCCCTGTCCATTGTTTGATCATTGCCACAGGTAAGAACTGTGATGCCTGGAGTGCTACATCATGATTCACCCAAAAGGTCAAATCTGGCCTGAAATGCTCACCTGGGTCCTTTTCCCTTTTTGTGGCACCATCAGATGGAGGAAGGTTACTAGTGGCTTGCTGACTGTTGGAACTCAAATGTTAGCTGCAGAGATGACATGCCTTCTTATTAGAGCTTACTAAATGTCTGCCCCACTTTCTACACCCATAGTGACAGCAGACTGTATGAGGGTCTGCTATTCATGACTCCAGTTTGCTGTGTCATCCTAAGGTCCTAAATGACTGTGATTACCACATAACTCCATCTCATCCCTTTGTTAGCTTAAGCATCCAGTTGGTGAACGGAAAACTGGTTGATGACCAGTTAAATATTCCATCTGACTCTGCTAGTAGAGGTGTTGGCGCAGTGGCACGGCTCTCTTTGCACACACCCAGGCTGCCGTCTGGCTGGTGACAGTTCCTCATCACAGGATACTGTGCCTTGACTTCACAGCTCCTCTGCATGGCTACACACTTTCTCAGCATGCCCTAATAGCAGCAGCCTTCCCTGTTTGCAGAGATCTGAAAGCATGCCATCTTTTGGCACAGAGATGCAGCCTGATACCCCCAGAGGAAATAAAGATAAAATCCTGGCTGAAAAGCAAATTCTGAGAAGAGAGCTAAGGTTATGGCTTTCTAAATATTTATCTTCAGTCTGTATTTGATGCCTGGCTAATGAAGTGACTGGGCTTTTACAGAAACCTACGAGAGGTTAAGCAACTTGGAGGAAAGCAGTGGTTTTCCTGAGCTGCAAGACAGAGTGTATGCAGGGCCACTCACGGCCTTTGTGGCCAAGAATTTCATGAGATGTCTCCTGCAGAAACCTTCAAATCTGAGCTTTATGAATGGCCAGTATAGTTGTGCTTCTTTCTTTTTCTAAAAATAATGGATTTCCATCCTTACTCTTTGGATTTACTTTGCTTCACTCACCATTTTCCTGAGTTTAGCAAAGAAGCTGTCTGTGGAAACAATAGATGAACAAAAAATTATCAAGGACTTTTTTTATGTGGGGGAAATATTTTTCGAAGGCAGAAAGAGGGAATATGTCAGGCTATGCATCGAAGCACTATTTATGCCCTTGAAAACCTTTCCCATAGAGTGCTTAATTGGTCTGTGAAAAGTCATTGCCAGAGGAGGTAATTGACCATTTTTTATAGAAGGATCAGTAACAAAAACATTCAGAGCTATTGTTCTAGAAATTAAAAATATATAAATTAAGAATTATGCAAAAAATATGTTTTGGGGCATAAGCCAGCCTCTCCTGAAACTATGCAAATTCATTTGGTGAAAACAACAGCAGACACAGTGAAATGAGTTGTACATGAAGAACTGAGATCTCAAATGTGATATTATGCAGAAGGTAAAGAGGCTGTACTAGATAAGTAACAGTTCAATGTGTTATCAAGGGTGCACTTCGATTTTGATGAATGTTAAAAGAACCTTTAGCCTTGAAAATAAAGAGGATAATTTCTCTCTAGGCAATGGCTGCTCATGAAAGTCATAAAATAGGAGCATTGGAGCCCTAATTTTATAGTGCTTTTTAAATGATTTTCAAATAGTCCAGCTGCTTTGTGCCATAATATCACGAGGCAGAGATATTTAGGCCAGCGATAACAAGCATGCATCAGCCTGCCCGAGCTGCTCTCCGCAGGCAGCCAGCATTAAGCGAAACACATATGGAAAACTGATACTTGCCAATGCGGATTGATCACAACGGCACCGTGGCTGGAGTGATCCTGGAAGCTGCTTTTTGCACCAAACAACTCAACTGCTTTTCTTGTTTGCGTCTTGCCCGCGGAGCACAGGATGTATGCCGCCAGTGATTCTGCTTCTATTTTGACACTTGAGCACCTGCCAGTTATACACACCTCCTAGACCATACAGTCCCCAGTAGACTGTTTGGAAGTAGGAGGGCTAATTCAGCCCTGGGTTACACCCCTGCTTTTTTTGCGGGAGTTTCTTCAAGATTTGATTTGCCCCCACCACAGATGTTCCCAACTTGCACAGAAATACACACATGCTGCAAATGAGCTCAGAACAAATGCTGCATAGCTCTGCTGAGATGCTGGAGTTGCCACCTTGCCAATTTGGGTATTCATTTCAGAAATCTGATTAGCATTTTATCTTTGCAGTTCCCATTCCTTTGCAAAACATTGACAGTAGACAGATGCTCTGGGCAAGCAGAGTAGGGCTGAAAGAGTGGGTTGTTTATGAAATATCCCTGTAAAATTAAATAATTCTTTATTTGTTTACTAGCACTGAAGACACAGCACTATTTGTGTTAAGAGAATGTAGGTGGTGATGGGAGATCCTGAGCATGAAAAGAAAGCTTTATTTTATTTATGGCAACATGCTTCTGTAAGTCTAAAGTCTGTGAGGCTAGGATAGAGCTGGGTAGAGAACATGGTGGCAAGTAGGTGCCTCTGGGAGGCCTCTGGGAGCTGAACATCAGTTGTCTGCAGAGTGGCAAGCCTCTCTTCCCCAGTGTGTCTAACTTCTGTCCCCTAGTCTGTGTAACTTCTTGTACATGTTGGAATTCCACATTTGTTTCTCTTTTTCTCTGCTGATCCCAGTGTAGCAAAGCACATTACCATCTTTTTAAGCCCAGTGCTATTAAAACATTGAGCAACTTTCTCCTGAAGTCAAGTCTTATGACTTTTCATGAATGGAGTGGCCAATGAAATGGGAACGTATTTGAGCACAGTTTTTCTTTCATTTAACCAAATTAGTAAGGAGTAACTGCAAAACCCCACTGTCCCCTAAAAGATGGGAAACAGGTTTGTTAGCAGAGCTTTATGTCACATTCCTTTGATCTTTATCTCATATTTAGATTGTCCAACATTACATCCCATCACTTTGATCTTATATTTCATAAGAATTTACATAAGCATATACTGTATCTCTGTTCAATATCTAAATCTCGCAGCTGTTTCGGGAACCCTCAGCTTGATGAATTGCTCAGTAATGGCAAACTCTTTGAATAGCATAGCCTTGAGGAAAATGACAGAAGTTAAGCCAGCCCAAGGGGAGCAGATCTGCCTTTTCCAAGAATACAAGGAAGCAAGATTTTCCTGCAGAATAGGAATGAGTGTATGCTGTGCTGCTCCTGGCTGCATTGTATAGTGCCAATTGCATTAGTTGGTACTTCTGCCTCACTTGCATCTCAACTTTCCAAGATCCAATTTATGGCAGCTGAGATAAAGTATCCTTCAGGATATTACATTCATCCCTTTCATAATGCAAGAACCACTTTTTGATATAAGAGATGTGAGTCCAGAAAAAGAGGGGAAACATATGGCACTAGGCTTTGTAAATGGCCAACTGGCATGTCTATTATGGCTGTTTGCAGCTTTTGGCTCCTTTTCAAACCAGAAAGTAACATTATACATGCTGTGCATTCTTACATACCAATTAAAAAAAAACAAACAAAAAACCCACAACCTTTAGAAAAAAAAAAAATAAATTATATATATATATATTTATATTTAAATCTGCGTTTTTCAACTGAAATCTCAGTGCCTTTCTTTCCATTCACTAAAATACAGCATCTTTCCCATTTATAGTTGCTTTCTTCTCTCGTTTCAGAAGACACCCTCTGGTGATTACAGTAGCCCATGTGTCATCTTTGCCATTGATTTGGGCACAGTTATAGTTACGTGCATTACTTGCTATCTTTCAGGACACTGCTGTGCTCTCTCCTGCCATGGAGACAATATCTGTAAGTAGGTAGTCAGACTTATCCAAGTGGTTCAGTGAAGTTTAGTTAATGCTTCCGAAGTAATCTGTGATCGCTTAATGAAATTGCTGTGTTGGAGCAATGGTTAATCAGGGGAGGAACTAACCATTAGGCCTTGTGAATGTACTCTGAGGTTGTACAGAAATGCATACCAAGGTGAAAGTCCTCTGCAGGTATTCCATAACGATGACTTTCCTAGCCACAGAACATTCAGTCCCCTTTGCTTCCCCATGCAATGTGTAGCAGTCAGTGACACCAAGCCTCCTCTGGCCTTCCTTGTTATGGACTACAAAGCTGCAGAGAATCGTGTATGAAGGCTCATGACAGAAGGCCACTCAGTGTTTCCTATTACCTCATAACGTTACTGTCTGCAGACCCCAGCATCTACATTTTGAGACTCATGTAAGAAACAGTAAAGTAATGAAAGAAAGGTAAAAGGTTGTGATTTCTGCAGAAAATGTACACTTTCCTGTCTGGAACTTCTTGTAAATTTACAGGTATACAGGCTCCATTTGACTACAGTCAGCGGCCCAAACACCTTGCAAAAATTCAGTCCACAGGGTAGCTCAGGTCATCCTACAGCTGGTCTTGAGGTGTGATTGTTGCTCAGGTTTTAGCAACCATTTT